AACTTCTTCCTTGGGAAAAGAGATCAGCCATCTCGTAACTCCATCTTCCTTTCAGGCAGTTGCAGAGAGCGATAAGGTCCCCCCTGAGCCTTCTCTTCTCCAGACTAAACAACTCCAGTTCCCTCAGCTCTTCCCCATAAGACTTATTCTCCAGACCCTTCACCAGCTTCGTTGCCCTTCTCAGGACCTGCCCCAGCACCTCAATGTCTCTCTCGTAGTGAGGGGCACAGAAGTGAGCATAGTGCAGCCTCACCAGTGGTTGTACAGGATGAAGATCATTGCCCTGGCCCTACTGGCCACACCATTTCTGTTACAGGCCGTTGGCCTTCTGGGCTGCCAGGGCACACTGCTGGCTCAGATAGAGCCAGATAGAACTGGCTCAGATAGAACTCAGATACTTCAGCCAGATAGAATCATAGAGTCAACTAGGTTAAAAATGCTTCTAACTCCACACACTAATAGTTTCAGGCTCTTTTAGAAAATAGGACAGCAACAGGGGAGTGGGAGCACAGCTGGTATCAGTATATGTACTTTTATTTTAATGACATAACATCAAGCATGATTCATATATTCCTGCCATTCCATTTATCATACATCTGCTTGAGTGGCAAAGTGTAATATAGAACAACCAAGATTTCAGACTGCACTAATACCTATATTTAGACAAGCATTTCAAACTTTCATGCATTCAGCTATGAAACGCAAGATTGCAGGCCTTTAAATTTCAGCTATCTGAGCTAATTTTAAGATTAAAAAGAATATGTTGATGCTCACAGCAACTTAGAAGATCTTTCTGTGCATTACTGACATGCAAGGCAATGACAGTCTGGGAAAAAACAGGCAAAAATACAGAATATTGCAGCCTTGTTGGGTAGCATCAGTGAATCAAGTTTTGCCTGATTTATTTTTGTTACACTTTGACAATACTTCTAACACCTCAATTACTGTGTTTCTTTAAACATTTCCCGGCTCTTGGTTCTACATGTTTTAGTTAAACTGTGTTGACCGGAGGTCATTGATTATTTGCAGCAGCAGCTTCAATGGCTCATGGGTGCAGCTGCAGACCTTTGCCCCACTAACCAGCCAAGGCAAATCCTCTGCTTTTCCAGTAAGCCAGCGAGCCACAGGGTATCTGCACATAAGCAGTCAGGCACCATCTAGAAGCAAAACATCCAGAACAACACAGCAAAGGCTGACAAACCCAGCGAAATACTAGCAAATGAACCAGGGAGAAATCAACCTACCAAGGAGCTTTCCTTTCTTGCTTCTTTGTGGGTTAGAATGTCAACCTAAAAATGAAGCCAGGCTGCATTACTTGCACTCATAAAATGTGATTTGAAGCGCACTCCTGTCATTCTATTTTAGAGAAAAACAGTAGCCTCCCATCAGAAAAGGCATGTGAAACTTCCACGGCTGTAGATCAGTGCTTCCAAGTAGATGCAAGAATGCACAACCTGCCAGTGAGGCAAACATCCTCTCATTCAGTATTTTATCCCTGACATTAGCTGTAACTGGGTTCAGAGGAGTAAATTTTGCAATGGTCATCTATAGGATTATCTGTCATGAAAGAAATGATCTCTGTAATTACTTGTAGTGAGAGTAAAGTTTATGCCCTGATTCTTTCCCTTAGGTTTTAGGGGGGTTGTGGTTTTGTTGTTGTTGGGTTTTCTTGTTTGTTTTTTTTTTCTTTTTTTTTCCCAGAATGAACACAAAGATCAACCCCAAATCCTAGTAATAGCTCCCAAGAAATTTCTCCTGATTCTTTATGTAATTAGTTCAGAGATTCTCAGACATTTACGCTATGTTTGGGGAGAAAATGAAGGTTTTATTTTTTTTCTTTTTTTAATCACGGGTTGTAATCTCAGCAGCAGGTGACTGAACATTTTTAATCTGCTGTGCTAGCCTGGTGGAAGATAACACACACATTAGTGTACTCTTAGTGCTACTCTGAATGGAATAGCCTATATGAAGATCATGTTAGTTATTTCCCGTAGGAGAAAAAAAGGGTGGTTATAAACCCAGTAATTTCTTTGTTGTAATTTTAATCATATAAATGGAAATGTTATTCTATTCATGTAAATGGAAATAAACAGGAAGTCACTAATTTTCTTAAAATTCCAAGCCTCTTATCAGCATGTCTTCTGCCTTCAAAACCTTTTAGGGATTTGGTTTTAGCCTTCTTTTTGTCTGACATCTTTTTGAGTGCATTTTTCTCAATCAAGTGGATGGCTTTTAACCACATTGAAATCACTGTATCCTCATTTCTAAGCACCACAGTGCGAGTGTTTTGTCTATCTTGTTTTGGATACAATCTGTATCTCTGCTTCAGTATCCTGTTCTAATGCTTCCCTTACCATTATTGCTCTGCATGTCTCCTCTTTGCTGTCACATAAGCCCTGTGTCCCTTTTGTTCTTTTGCAGGCTCCACTGTTTCTCAATTATTGTGCCTTTCTCTGGCTACCCTTAGATACTTACTTTGTCTCAAATTATGTCTGTCCTTCCTCTTCCTAGATTCTTTTCCTTGCTACCTGCCTCTCAGCATGTATCGTCTTCTCTGTAAAGGTGATCTATTAATAATGCATATAACTGATGTTTTCAATAGTGATTTTTTCAGACAATGTACTTACTTGGGATACATTTTATTGTTTTCTTTCAGAATATTATGAAGTTTGTTAGTACTTTTAAATATATAGTGTTATGGTTTAACCTCAGACAGCAATTAAGCAAGCTCATTAATTAACCATGAAGATACACCTGCTTATTTTCCCTGATGGGATGGGGGAGAGAATTGGAGGGGTAAAACTGAGAAAACCCATAGGTTGAGACAGTTTAATATGTCAAGCAAAAGCTGTGCGTGCAAGTGAAACAAAACAAGTAATTCATTCCCACCAGCAGGCAGGTGTTCAGCCATCTCCAGAAGAGCAGGGCTCCGTCACATGTAATAGTTACTTGGGAATACAAAGAGCGTAACTCCAAACGTCCCCCCCTTCCTTCTTCTCCCAGCTTCTATTGCTGAGCATGATGTCTATTCTATGGGATGTCCCCTTGGTCAGTTGGGATCAGCTGTCCTGGCTGTGTCCCCTCCAAGTTTCTTGTGCACCCTTAGCCTACTTGCTGGTGGGGTGAGGTAAGGAGCAGAAAATGCCTTGACTCTGTAAGCACTGCTCAGCGAGAACTAAAACATCTCTGTGTTATCAACTGTTTCCAGCACAAATCTAAAATGTAGCCCCCTCCTAGCTACTATGAAGAAAATTAACCCTATCCTGGCCCAAAGCATCACATATGGGTTGCAAAGAAGTAAACTACTAAAATCAGTTTTTGGGCTGTCATGGCTAAGTGGGATATATAAAAAATTTGGAAGATAGGTTTAAGGAGACAAATGCTTGTAGTTGTGAATGCAAAGTCACACTGAAGGTGCCCCATCACACTGCTTCTGGAGTCACACTCTATTTTTATGGTGAGTCATCCCTTTCAAATGCTTCTTGTTAAGACATACTGCAACCTCTACAATAAGGTAAGCAGACGGAGATGACCGAGGCCTTGGGTTGTATGGTTTAGTATGAGGTGTCCCTGCCCATGGCAGGGGGGTTGGAACTAGATGATCTTAAGGTCCTTTCCAACCCTAACTATTCTATGATTCTATGATTCTATGATATAAGAGCAGGTGACAAGGAGAGAGGGAAGGGTGCAGCAGGAGCCAATATATGAATTTTTCTTAATTTTATTTTTTGAAAAGCAGGTATATACCACCATTTTGACCAAAATAAGAATTTGACTGCTGATATTTAACACATTGCTGAAAACGTTGGCTTTCACAAGGTGTAACACCTATAAACCATTGCACAGAACATTTAATTTCTAATTTCTGTTTTGGCCAAAGTGTTAGTGACATGTCAATTCAACCTAGTCTACCATTCTCTAATACGAGATTTTTTTTAATTTTTTTTTTTTTTTTTTTTGCACAACATGAAGACATAGGGGAAATATTCAGAAAGTTTAAAAATACCAGTGAAGGATAAATAATAAGGTATTTTATCAGATTACTGTTGCCAAATTTCAGAATTAAAACTTACTTTCTGGAAAAAAAGTAGAACCTTTTAAACTTTATAAAATGAAAGAATAAAGTCTATCTCTTAGTATTGTGCAAACTTATTAAATGGTCATGTCTTCCTGTGAGTTTTGATTCCGTTTGCTTTACCCTCATCCTAGTAATTTCTGTGATGCACATAAGTTGTTCTGGTTAGTAAATCGGTAACCTTAAATTTGTATGGTTTTAGTGAGTTGTAAGTTTGGCTTTCTGGATGAAACAAAAAGCAGTAACAAATAGAGCTGGCAATTAGGACAAACAGGTGGTATTGTTAATTTATTTCTAGCAACTTTGCCGTAGGAAATAATAAAAAAGGAGGTTACTGATTAATGTATCAGTCTAGTAGTTAATGTGAGGGCTCAAAAATTAAGAGATAATGTCATTCCAAACAAGAAAAGTTATGGGGGAAAATTAAGGCAAAATCATCTGCCTTTCTCTCACCATCACCCCAGTTATATCCATGAATTAAAATATACTCTGTTGCTGTACTACAGCATTTCTCTTCTGATTGTGCATGCTTAATATACTTGTATGAAAGTCATGTCTTGTAGAACTGCCTTATGAGATTTGGTAACATCAAGCAATAAAATGCTTAATAATACAAGCCTGTATTTATTTATCACTCCATTGTTTTCATCCACCGAAAAGGAATTGTGAGAGCTAATACAAACCGTGCTATATACATGCACATTATTTCTTGCAATCTCAGGGAAAAATACTTTCATTATCTCTCTGATAGATTTCAGGATGGGGACTTGATTTGGGAATTCCTAATGTACTTGCATTTTCTTAAATATAATCTGAATTCCTAAACAACCCCCACACACACTGTTTTTAAATGAAGCTGAAGTGGAAAAGTCTTGGGAATTTTTTTGTTTTGTTTTGTTTTGATATATTGTCTCTTTCCTATCAGGATTCCTGTACCCACACATCTGTCAACAGCATTCCCTATGGTTTCTTCTGATGTGCCTGAGATGCCTGAGCCTGTTGTGCCCTCTCAGATTTTCCCCACATTGCCATCTGTATGCCAGGATGGACTGTGCCGTAATGGAGGGACTTGTCATCCTGTGTCTCTGCCTACTGGGGCCACCTCATTTCAGTGCGACTGCCCACTACACTTCACTGGTCGGTTCTGCGAAAAAGGTAGTTGTGGTTTATTCTTTCTGTATTAGTTGTGAAATGCAATTCTTATGCTTTTTGGAGCTAGAAAAGGGGAAGAGATGGAGATCAACATGTTTCCCTGCTTTTCATCCCAGTTGCTGTTGGAAACTCAGAAGTAAATTCATTGAGGTATTTAGAATAATACTTACTTGTGGCATAAGTTTGGTAGTACCAGTCAGGCACTAGTAAAGATAGAAAACTTGAGTAAATAAAAAAAAAGTATTTGTGCAAATTGTTGTGCACTGTGTGAATGCATGTTATGTAAAGCATTATTTCTGAGACAGAAGAAAGTTAATTTATGAAAATAAGAAGAAGATCTCCTCAAAAGGTTATATTGTTTCCATTTCTACAGATCGAGGTCTTTTTTTGCCACTGTGACTGGTCCGTTGTTTAAAAAGGCTTTTTTTACTCTGCTGTCATTTGTACTTCTATTGTTCTATTGTTGCTCATAAAGTACGTATTAGTCAAATGAACATAATTTAATTAGAATTTGAATAAAAAATAGTTCTTCAGACAATTTGGGCTTCTTTGTAAAAGGAATCAAGGCTGTAAGACAAAGTGATCTATGTTACTATTTTGTAGTTACAATTATTTTACATTACTAGATTTCAGAAAGTTCTTTTTATGACATTTTACAGCTGACTTCAAAAACTTTTCACTTTTAAGATACAGGGATTCTAAATGGTAGTGGATAATTCTCATAGTATTAAAGGGCATTACTGGTGCACAGAAAAAAAAATAAAATAATGTCTAGATTATTGTTATATAACTGTAACATCCGCCTAATGAACTTCCTATTGTATGAAATACAGGCTACTAGAGTTAAAAATGTGCTTGCTAGGTTGACAGTATATCTGAGCTAACATCGCCTTGTATTACTGTCAGAAAGTAGGTCATTACACTCACTGTATGTGAAAGCAATCAATGATTGTAAGCTTAAAATAAAAAAGAAATTGTGATGTGTTGCTTAGATACCAGAGACTGTTTTATCTTTCAGCTTTTCCCAATTTTATAATAAATTAAATCATATAATTTCAAATTGTCAGTGTCATTAAGTAATTAAGTTGAATTCTGTGAATATCTTCTATGCATTTGGTATCTGGACATAACTCTTTGCACTTGGTTTCAGTACATGGCAGTTGTGCAAACCACTGAACCATAAAATAGTGGAACCAAAAAAGCATGTTTCTTTCAAAGGGAATAGATTAAGTTACCATTCCATGTGTGTTGCAATGAAGATTTTTCAATGTTTCAATAAAATATTTTATTTATTAACCCATATTTTATGTGCCAGAATTCCCTTCTGGGTTTCAAAGAATGCAGTTGGCATCCTTTGCATCAGCATCATCTGCAGTATTTTGTATGGGAGCAACTTTTGCCTTTTCTCAAGGGGTCTGCCAGGAGTAAGCAGTGTTAAATTTAAGCAAAAGTTTGGTAGACATCCTGGGGTAACAGGCTGCAGCAGTGTATATATACAACCACTCTGTTGGGTGATATCTTGTCTGGACTCCACTGGTGTCAGATTGCTGCCTTCTGGTGACCTAACCTTATCTTCCTGTTGATCTGTCAGTCTCCAGGAGTCTTTGCGAGTTTGATTTTTTTAAAGAAAACTGACATAATCTATCTTTGAATTATATTACCTGGGCTGAGTACTTACCTCCCTGTGCCACAGACTTCTTTAATGGAAGTACCTTCCAGTTCATTTACAGAAACAGCTATATTTGGGTTGCTCATCCAAAAATACATCATCCTAATCATTTCTCCTTTGAAACTTAACCAGTACAAGCCTGCTGAGTTCATACAACGTAATGTGTTGATTGTCTTTCAATGATATTTCCAAGGGAATTTTGCATGTTTATCTTACCTGTGTAAATGAAGGGGTCAACTTCCCTCTTTGTTACTTTGTTTCAAAAATGTGTGAAAATATGACTGAATAATGACTGTCTGTAGAGCAGATTAAAAACAGGGATTACTACAATAAATTGTAGTTGAAACCAAATCTCTGAAAATTAAGACTGAAACATCCTACGTTAGACACACTGGTAACTATTCCATTCAATAAAATTAGAATGCAAGCCTTAAGAAAAACCTGAAACAATTAGATCCTTTTGAGAGTATAACCTTAGTTGTATAATCATTTCATCCTTTCACTGGTTATGTCTAATTTCCGCAACATATCTTTTTTTTTTTTCTTTTTCTATACTTGGAAGAGATGCTGTTTACTTTGCAGAGCCCTGCAGGCATGTTTGATGATAGGATTTTAACAGCGATCCATTTTTCTACATCAGATGTCTTTTAATAGCTCTTGAACATTCCTCTTCTTTTTCCCTTTCTGTAAGAAGACCGATTAAGGAGTTCCTCTTTTCACAGAGCTCTGCTTTTACACCCTACAATCCCACCATCAATACAGGGAATAGATTCCTTCTTCATGTTTAGCAATCCTGGGTCAGCCAGGGCTGTGGTATGTGACAGGCTCATCGGCAGTTCACTGAGGCAGCTACAGTGCAGGGCATATGCTGTGATATTGCATGTTTAGGTAGATCAGGGTCAGATTTGATTTATCCTGCTTTTAACAGATGAAAAGTAATTGAAGCATAATGTCATTTTACTTAATTCCAAAGTTTCAGTGAGATTGATAATTTCATGTAACGAGACCAGAAATTGCACAACTGAACTAGCATTATAAGCCTTTGATAGTCATAGACCAGTTCTTCAAGAAGTCTGGAAAGAACTCATAGTTGCAGAAGATAAGAGCAACTGTAATAATTTACTCTAAACATTGAAAGTGATAAACTAAATTATCATCTATGCAATCCAGATTTTTTTTTTTTCCAGTCAAGAAAATTGTCTCTTAACTCCTTAGGGATAGCTGTGATCTGTTTTAATCATGCTGTAATGTATACCTCTACATTCCAGTAGCATATACTTATTAAACATCTTAGTGGTCAACCATTAACTACAGGTCAGCAAGAAAATAATATCACACACTCAGCTGGAGTAGTAAGAGTCAATATAATATACCACAGGGTCTATCCACAAACCCTGTTTAGATACTCTGGCTTCATTAGAATGTGTTGCATATTTCTAGGTTAAGATATGCCACTTAGTAACAACTGTATATTTCTTACAGTGCATAAGACCAGCTTGTAGAGTGAAAGTAAGTGAATGCTATTATCTTAATTATGTGGTTTAATTTGATAGTGTGTTGTTATATGCATTATTGCCTTTTTCCTACTTGATTGCTCTTTAACTAATAAACTTCAGTAGGTTGTTCTGCCCATACAGGAAATGTGTTCCAAGTCAAAACAGTCATTATGGACATATTAGGGCCAAGACAGTTCATTTAAATGCATGATCTATTTACAATCAAATACCTCTGAATCTGAAATGTCTCTAAGTGACAATTTTGAAAAGTGGAAATCTATCTCCATTTCCTAATGAAACAGAAATTCATGAGTATGAACCAGTGTATTTGCCAAAGTCAAACTGAAGCTGTCAGTGCTGGATATATGCCTAAGTATACTACAGATTATCAAAGTTATCTGGAAATAAAAAGTTGCTACAAGTTTGTCTTTAAAAACTCTAACCTCTAACCTTAAATGCAGTATAGAAAATTTGGTATCAGTGTAAATTTAAGCTTTATTACTGAGTAGTGAGTGCTAGGTTGTACAATAGAAAGGGGAGATTGTGTGGATAGGGACACAGTGACAGGGAGCGTACTCTGAGCTAGCTTTTTTCTTTTTCCTTTCTGGGTAAATAAGTCTTTTGACTTTAATATTAAATGTGACATTCTTTCATCCATGAAACAATTATTAGCTAAGAGGTTGTATCTGCTTCATTGTGAAATCCCCACACACGAGCGGAAAAAATGTAATGCTTTAGTATGAAGGCAGATGGTTGTCTATTAGTGTAAAGTTCATAGCAATAGGTTTGGAATATCACTGTCTTGTATGTGCAAAGAAAGTATGTCCCTGACTGTTAATTATAAGATTAACATTTCTAAAGTCACCAAAATCTTTTGCATTCTGTAGAAGTTTTATAAATTGTTCAATAAAAAGAATATTTAAATGTCGTGTTAAAAAATGAGAAATCTTTTTAATTTTTATATGTTGCCTGGGTATATTCTGTACATTACTTAAAGGTCAACTCCTTTCACAAAGCTGCAAAACCAGGAGTAAAATAGGAGGTTGTTACATGCATTTATGTTACAACCATTCCACCTGGGGACTTCATTACATTTGTTCCCTGGGATACACTGTCAGAATTCCTGATTTGTCAAACAATACTTTATAATACCACCCTGACATTAGAGTTTTCTTTTACTAGCAGCTTTTATAGAGATTTTTCCTAACTTAACATTTCTAACTTGCATCATTGACTAGTATGTCAATGTATTTGGTTTTGAAAATAAATGTAATTGGTCCAATTTCTGTGATTTTGGCCATATTTAGAACAATCTCATGTCTCAGTAAGTCATAAATCTATCTGCTTAATAATGTTTATACTTCGTATGTATGATTTAAAACAAGTCTGTGACAACTGCCATCAAAAAGAAGGATGAGGAATCATATGAAGATGTGTGAGGAAGGACAGTTGTGTTTTCATCTCCACATTCAAGTCTCTGAGATACCCAGAAAGAAAAATGTGAGATGATTGTCACCCCATATTCTCTGTTTTTTCAGAGTTCAGGTGTTCTTTCACTGATTTTGTCCTCCCTCAAAATCATTCATAACTTGGTAGTACTCTGTGAGTAGAAAAACAACAGGTTTAGAGCTATGTATAAACTTCAGTAATTCATTTGATGTCATAAACCACAGTCAATGTCTAAACATATGAGATATTTATTAATTTCCCACAAAATGCATTTATATGTGTATGCAAAACTTTCAAATTAACTTTCTAGATTTGGGCTAAATTTATAAAAAGTATGAAGTTTTCCCTTCAGATTGAGAGGAAGACATTAAAAATTAAAACACAGTAGG